GGCGATCCACAACAACATCGCAGTGGAGATCAGCGGCAGCACGACCCTCCTCGACAACGACGTTTCCCACGACAAGAAGGTGTACGGCTTCTGCGAGCTCGAGGACCCGCTCGTGCTGACCATGCTCAACGGCAAGATGCTCCTGCGAAGGCGCTCGGATGTGTCCGTGCGGAAGCAGGCATAAGGAAGAGGGAGGAGGCGAGGCGGGGCACGGCTGCGAAGATGGACCCGCTCGAGGAGATCGTGGAGCGGCTGGTCGAGCGGTACCCGGACTTGCACGAGATGGCCGCCCAGATAGGGCGCGCGCTGCTCCTGTTCATGCGCGGGTCCTTCCTTCGAGACTCCGCCCACAGACGGGCCGCCATGACGTGCTTGCCGTTGGATCCGTTGCTGAGGGACGGCACGCGGCTGAAGAAATACCAGTTGGAGGACGTGTTCGCGATGAGGACCATGGAAAGGAACACACATACGCCGCTGAGGCTGTCCTCCGGAGCGACGATGTACCACAACATCGGCATCCTGGGGGAGCCGCCCGGAAGCGGGTCCATGGTGACCGTCGTTGCGCACCTGATGAGCTCCTTGGACCGGTCGCCGAGCCCAGCCAACACGTACTACATGTGGTTGGAGGACGAGACCGAGAACACCAAGAGGAGGGTGCTGATGAGCTCGGAGCACGCGTTCGGCATGCTCCTGCCGCCCGTGGACAAGGACTCGGCGCCGCCGTTCTGCGGGGCGTCCGTGATCGCCTGCTCGGGGTTCGGAGCGGACGCATGGGCCCAGAAGCTCGAGGAGATCGCGCCCTGTCTGAAGCCGTTGCTGGTGACGAGGCACTCCGACCTGGCGAGGCTCTCCAAGCGCCACCCGGACGCGATGAGCGAAAAGGAGGGGTGGGTGATAATCGTGGCGGAGAACATGATCGGGGCTTTCCACGACATGTACGGAGGCTTCCGGTTCTCGAGGCTCATCATAGACGACGCCGGCTCCATCACGCGCAAGCACCTGCCGAGACTGAGGGCGTGCTTCACGTGGCTCGTGGAGAGCACCGTGGAACAGTACATCCTGCCCCTCGCTCTCGCTCCGGACCAGAGAGCCGAGCCGAACTCCTACAGGAACGTGTGCTCCGTCCTCCAGGAGGCCGGCATGACGGAAATCTCCAGGGTGGTCGTCAGGCACTCCCTCGCGGAGGTCGTGAGAGAGTGCCGGATAGAGTTCCCCTTGCACGTCCACTACGAGTGCTCCGACGGAGGAGCGGTTCAGCAACTGCGGCGATACGGGCGCACGTGGGACGGCTGCGCCGGCATCAGGCCGCTGGAGCTCAGCAACGCGTGCGAGCGGGAGCGCGTCACCATGCTGCTCAGGACCGGGGCGCAGGTGTGCGCGGACGTCAGAGCGGCCGCCAGGGGGGCCAAGAGGGACGCGCGAGAGCGCATCGCCGGCTGGAATAAGGACAAGTGCTGCGTCTGCTGGAGCGGCCTCGCTGGGGAAGAGCGAGGCTGGGGCGAGACGTGCATCACCTCGTGCTGCTCCCAGCTGCTGTGCTTCGAGTGCATGGACAAGATCTCCGGGTCTCCCACGCCCAGATGCCCGATCTGCCGGGCCGACGTGATGGAATCGGGGATGCGGCTGCTCACGGAGTCGCCGGACCCCTTTCCACCGAACATCCGCTTCGACCGTTCCACCCTGTGGAACCGGCGGGTCAAGAGTACCCTCACCGCCGTGCTCATCGCCATGCCGCCGGGATCCAGGGTGGTGCTGTGGTCGTTCGCGCACGTCCACCACCTCGATTTCAACAACCTCGGCTTTTTCGTGGAGCGCCACGGCTTCTCTTCCTGCCGGCCCCTCAACGGGAGCAAGTACCAGATCAGGAACGCGCTGAAGAGATTCAACGAGGACCGGGACGCCATCGATGCGGCCGAGAGGAAGGCGGTCTTCATGACGGCAGCATGGGAGGCGCGCGGCTGCCACCTCCACGCGGCGACCGACATCATCTTCCTGGGCGAGGTGTCCACCTCGGTCTACCAGCACGTAATGGCTCGGGTGCTGAACGTCTCCAAACCTAGCATTCAGCGGAGATGCGGCTCCCTGCGAGTGCACATGCTGCACTGCAAGGGGCGCTCCTATCCGGAGCTCTTCCTAGCCGGAGAGGGGCTCGGGATGGGTGCCGATCCGGAGAGCTACGCCGCCACCATACGTCGCTGCAGGGAAAAGGAGGGGGCCGCGTTTGCCGTGAGGAGGCGGCACTATCTGTGGCCCGTAGACATAGACGATGACTACGAATAAGCCTAGGCTGAGCATAAAGACGAGCGAGTTCGGTAGGAAGGCCGTAGTGAGGAGCTCCGCAGACGTCAACCAGAGGGAGACGGCGTGCACCCCGTTCCTCGAGGTGACGGACGTCCACCGGACAGACTCACGATGCTACGCGACATTCAGGATCGGCACTGACTCCCCCTTCCATGATTATCTCGCGTCCATCAACGACCAGCTCATGGCCTTCTTGTGTCCCATCGAGAACCTACGCATGCCGTACGACGCGAACCTCCGAATCCTGAGAGTGAAGATGCCCGTGCGCGGAGGCCGATTGGCGGTGCGAGCGTACGACGCATCGTCGTTGGACGAGATACCCGCATCCGCCTTGGCCGTCGGTCGATGCGCGGCCGTCGAGATGACGCTGAATGACGTGTGGCTCGACGCCGACGTGGTGTC